CAATAAACGTTTGCACGGTATACCGTGCAAACGTTTGTTGTTTGGTCTCTTTGCAAAACGTGACCCCCACTTTCTTTATTTGTTCATTGTAACTCATTCCTGGCCGTCCTCGTCCATACTTAATCTTAGTTTTAGTAGCAGTAAACCTCCTTTCCTTTTTACGAGTTCATCCAAGGAAGTACTGCCACCTTAACTATTTCTGCTGCCAAGTAATAATATGACATTATTGTGTTCCGGTTTTGAAGGATAAGATGCTGGTGAAACAGGCGCATGGGACTTGGGCACAGTCTCAGATCTTTCGATCAGACGTTTATTCAATCGTTGAACGACTGTCACAATGTGACAATTTATCGATTCACGGCAGCCGCTTTGTCGTTTGCACGACAGAATCGAAGCGGCGATTATCTGTCGTCACATTTAAATCGTGACGTTTTATTTATCGTCGGACGACTGTCGTTCTAGCTCTTGCTATAACACGACAATTCTGTCGTCGTAACATCAAAAAAGTCAAGACAATAATCGTGTTGTACTATATGTGAACAACTTCATTTAAATTTACAAGCCACGATAATTTAAACTGCACGACTATCTGTTGTCACGACATAATGGGAACGATTTTATTACGCTTAAAAATAGCTTTTTCTTTTGAAAAACGAATAAATTTCTTTTCTCTTTATAACTGTCGAAAGATTCTTTGTAATGACATTACAAAAGACTAAATGGGACTTGCAGTGTTTTGGTTTGTCACTATAGAGCATTGCAACTGGTATGGACAGGCATGTCGCTTACCACCAAGCGCTCAACTTGTTCGTCCCGTCATTTGGTATCTTAAAAGAAAACTTGCCTTCCACTTACGCTTCATAGTTAACAGTAGAATGTAAAATAAAAAAGTCTTGTTAAAACTATCGCTCCGTATCTTTTCTTTACTATACATGGATCTTAAAGTGGGCAAACGCACGAGTGATACGCGGCTTGAGTATTTCAATTAGTATACATGGTCGAATTATAGACTGACGTCTTTCGAGTAAGTATACTCACATGAGATTGGTAACGGTCAGCTTGCCTTAAACGTCTACTAAACAATTTGTTAATAAAATAGATATGGAGAGAAATATTCACACAGCCATAGGGAAACTAAGCAATAGGTTGAACACTCGGTCATAGCGTAGCTATATTGCAATTTTAATGGCTCTGAACACTCCATAATACAATACAAGGTTGTTATTGGACAATAATTAATTTGAGCACATTCCATGAGCATACTTACTTACTTACTTAAGGACTTAAGAAGATTTTTCGTCACATAAACAATGCCATAACATGCTGGCAAAATCGGCTGTAATGTGCTGCAATACTTTTTCGTTACATTACCACCTTATGGCGGTAATAGGTTTTTTAAATTTAATTGCACTGTACTTCTCTTAAACGTTAAGACTAAGCAAAAAAGTTTTAACGCTTGAAAAATCTGAATTATTCCCTTTTAGGTTGAAGTATAGAAAAAAAACTAAACATTTACTAAATTAATTTTATAAATTCAAATTCTGCAGCTTTCTTAGTATTTTGAAATGATTTATTTTATCTTTGCCAACATGGCTGTATGCGTTTTTTACCTTTTACAAAATTTTAGTTCTAGTTGTATTATCTATGGAAGAATACCTGGCCATCTGTTTATATAAAAAAAAACAAAAACAAGATTTTAGTAGCAGTAGAGCTCCTGTGAAAGTGTTCGTCCAGGGAAATACCCCTCAGATCTTTGTGATATTTAGTTCTGAAGGCACTGGAACTGTTATGGATAAGAGTATCGCTTACCACCAGGAGCACGACTCGTTCGTCCTGTGACTTAGTATCATAAAAAAAAGAAGCAATATTTAATTAGCGCATGTAAAATTAACTAGATAGCGACAAGCCCAGTCATAATGAAAATGTTTACTTTCATTCTATTAACATCACTCGACAAAGTTACTACTAGACGAAGAAGAAAAACATTTTATGTTCATAGAAAAATTACATAACAGAGTGCAAATTAGGTTTAAATTATATCTTTGGTATTGTAAAGCCCAAGGTCCTTGTATCACGACGACCTCGGCGGCCCAACGGTTTGCATTGTGGGCACTAGATGAACAGGACTAGGGTTCGATTCCCGGCAGATCAATTTGGGAAACTTACTTTTCTAAATTGGCCCTGCTTTAGGTGTTCTGGGAAGTGCCTCAGAGAGAATTCCTTTGCTCTGGATCTCTAGTACAGGAAATTCCCTAGTTTGAGAATAGGCAATTGGTATGCTTGTTGTGCACATTACTAGATGAAAGTATAAAAAAACCATACGAAGTAGGTGAAATAAATTGTATAAATATGAACTTTTATAACTCTTTTATTTAAGCTTAAAATTTAAAAAGCTAACAATTCGAAGAATCTTTAAAGCTCTCTCCTGAAAAGTTGTCATTTTGTTGATGTGTCCTTATTTACACCAAGGTTGCCAAATGTGCATTGTATTGGAGACACATAAAATGGTTCCGTATAAAATTCAACCAAATAAAGCACTTAAAATATTATTTCTGAAAAAGAAGACTTAAATAAACGACGTACATAATTTAAAAAGCTTAGAATTTTCGAAGAATCTTTAAAGCTCTCTCCTGAAAAGTTGTCATTTTGCTGATGTGTCCTTATTTACACCAAGGTTGCCAAATGTGCATTGTATTGGAGACACATAAAATGGTTCCGTATAAAATTCAACCAAATAAAGCACTTAAAATATTATTTGTGAAAAAGAAGACTTAAATAAACGACGTACATAAACCTGTTGCTAGTCCAGCTCCATGTCAGTAAACAGATTAAAAAGACACACAATACATAACATAAGTGACAGGGACTAGCCTTCAACCAAAATGTATATTGATCATTAGATCATAAAACCTACAACATGACATAGTTACGTGATAATGCCCATAGGACATATTGTAAGTGGCACTAAAAAAAATAACTTTTTTCAGAGGCGTCCTGCCGCAAGATAACTATGTTACGTGTGTGCATTATTATTATTATTATTAACTCGGATAACTTACACTGTTTTATTTCCATAACTAAAGAGAAAAAGACCATGAAGTCCCGTAACCTCTGCTAAGTTTTGTTTATAGAGCCCCTTCCTATCAATATTCAGTTATACGGGAATTATCTGTGCAAGCAAACTTGCACAGGGACCTTATCAGTGCAGTCCTGAGCGTCCGTTGATACAGGTTTCATCTGGTTTTCAACAGTGCCTTGGGTTAGCGCTTACTGGTGCACGTACAGTCTCATATCGTTCTACATAAGTTTTTTGTAAATAGCGCCCCTCCTTATCAACCTCTTGGTTATGCGGGAAGGGCACTATAATCTGTGCGAACAAGCTCGCACAGAGACCATCTGAGTCGGGTCATAACCCCAGATCAGCCCGTTTGCACGGATTTTATTCGGTTCTCTATAAGGCTAGTGCCTTAGGTGAGCCGCCCCGGGTGCACGAACCCTCCTTATTTTCCAGATAGTTACCGGAGCTGCAGGCACGCTCACTTCCCTTCGCGCTCTGCGCAACTAACGGTTGCCACCGCTGAGCCGTCGATTCTAAGTCGATTACCAAATCTCCTCATTGGTGGCGGAGCTGTAAGGCACGCTCACTTCTCGACGCCAAAAAACGGCGTCTCTCCAGTTATCAAATTCCTACGCGCCTCCAGGGACCGGAGGATCTCTAGCTCATCCTCTACTAGCTCTCCGGGCTAGTGCCGGAGATGCCAATAGCAGTGTCCTGTGACAATATCCGGACATAGCTCCCGACTTAAACTGCAACTCACGAGTCCCGTCTCCCCGCATCAGGTCCTCATCCAGACCGTTAAGACGCGCTAGATGCGCGAGAGACGAACACCCTGGCCACACAACATACGAACATGTTCATAACATGCAGTTAACGACAAATCCCGGCGAGTCCATACCCAAGTTCGGGTCCGCCAAAGACGCCCGTGAATACGTATCACTGGCGAAGCGAAGCGGACTCCCTATCTCTCGGGCCGGTAGATAGGGACAACTGCACGGGTGCACGTTACAGTACCCTCCGTATTGTCAGATAGCTACCGGAGCTGTTGGCTCGCTCGTCTCCCGTTGTGCATTGCACTACTAACAGTTGTCACCGCCATGAAGGGGCAGTAAGAAGAGATTAAAATTGAACACTTTTATGGAAAAATTGGCGAAGAAATTTTACGCTTAGAGCAATGTTCGGCATATTGACGTTCGCTTCTGAAAATTATTTGTACAAATATCCACTATTTCAAAGTTAAACATTTAGTATCGAACGTGAGATGTGTATTATGTTTATTGTCTTTAATATTTTGTGCCTATCGGCGTACGCGATAAATGATATTACCTCTCCATAATCGTCAATGTCACGATCTTGTGGACATGATAACAGAATCACGTGGTTTTTTGACATTGATAAGCTTGGACATCCCATCAACTTGTTCTCCTTTATTCAGATAATAGATAAATAGGTGACAAACAGGATATTTTTGATTATGCGGTGTAAATATCAAAACAAAAGATGATCGCATTTGTTTAACGACCATGAGTTGTTTTGCATTCACAAATTCTGAGTTAGCTTTATGATTTTTTGCCGGCACGCAATTGAAACGGGCAAAGTATTAGTTATATGATACCATATAAGTCCCTATTATCGACTTGGGTGTTTCCATACGTACAATGTACCTACGCGTATTTTGTTTCTTTTGTTGTATTTATAATTGCCAGGGTTCGTATTTTATGTTTAGTAATCAATAAAATGTGAATTATTAATTAACGTAGTATATATATATATATATATATATATATATATATTGCCTGATTTGATACATTACATGAAACATTATTTAGATGAACAAAAACTTACTTTTGTTTGTTCAAAATTATCAATTAGATTTTTTCTTAGCTTTGTATTTTGAATCGGGTAGCTGATTAGAGGTAGAAATTGATTATTGTATACCTACCGATGTGGCAGACCGCGAAGTCCTACCAGTGAATCCCGTGGTTTGTAAGTGGAGTTTAACTGCTTCAACACCAGAGCGTTTGCCGCGATCTCGGAGACCCATTCCTGACGAAGGCACAGACTTTGTTCCTCCATGTTTCACTCCTCTTACAGGCCTTGGTCCTTTAGGTTCCAGCTTTTGTCCCACCGCTACATCTTGTTTCACTTTACGATCTCGCTTCTTCATCTTTTTCATAACGTTCATTACTACTTTACCACACACATATCTCAATTGAAAGTTATTTGTGAGGACTAAAAAGATTTCGATCATAAGTTACTACATGACAGGTAAATTATGATAAGATATTATTTTGCATTGAAGGTGAAAGATCAACGATAAAAAATATATAGAGTTAGTTGTTTCGATTACGTGACGCTGGAGGCCCTTTTTGTTAGCACCTCGACGCGATCACGTCGGAACCTTGAACTGGGAACACTGGCATTGCGGTGTTAAGGTAGGTATGGGACGGTATAGGGTTTACACGGGCACTTAACACTGAGAACGATATTTATGAAGTTAGGTCGCAGCGGGTGTACGTAGGATTGTAGTCGGTACAGTGGAGCGCGCGTGCGGGTGTACCGTGGAGACGCAGCCGGTCCCCGAACGGACTGGCGCGTGCCCGCTGCCCGCGCACTCCTGCACAGCTGCCCGGCGTCGCCACTATTGCTCTTAATTAGAAGAAACTTGTGACACTACTTTAGGTTTCATTGTAAACATCATTAACACAAATGACTTATATAATTATCGTCTTGTTTCCACAAAGTCAAAGTCTAATGTGGGAGTATTTTAACATGTAAAGTATATTAAGTATAAATAATATGCAAATTCACTATACATTATGTTTTCTACACACAAGGTATAAATAGCATGGAATGATTTGTACGCATTTAGTTTCTGGTATAATGTATACTTGTACAGAAAAAAAAACATAAATGTTATTATTGATGTAACGTAAACAAGTTTCTAAAAACTTGCGTTGGGCGTCGACATTACAACTTAGTGTTTATAGTTTTTGCACAACGAATACCTGCCAACAAATAACTGGGGAAACAAATTATTTACTATGTTTATTGCTTAATGAATACTAAAGACGCTACTCGAGTCGTTACTACATGAATCTAAGATATCGTATTGAATTATCCAATTATAATAATATATGCAGAATTAGATTGGCCAAACTTTCGATCAGCAAACGCTACGCTATCTTACGGAAGGCTTTGAACAAACTGCATTGGCATAGTTACTATACTCCATAATTCGTGGTAATCGTTTCTTTCGTGATGGAGTGTAGTATTCTTTCTCTTCAAGTTTTCGGATAATATCGATAGAGAGCGCTGTAGGCTATTTTCTTATGCTGATAATAGTTTTGAAAACTGCTACTAGGTGGCAGCAGCTGCTTCTTAACACGACTTTGGAAGTTTGCTAACATTTAACTTCGGAAACTATAGTCTATCGTGTTAATTGTGCTTACAAAAAATCTAAAATAAAGTATTGGTTTCATAAAGCTTCTGTACATCAAATATAATAAATATTTGTTCTTGAATAATTTAATTTATGTCAGCAGGTCGTAAACGTTACATCATGAGGGTAAGAAAATGAAGAATATAATTAGAAAAATGTTGTTGCAGATATGATTAAATATTTGAAATTTGTAATCTTTGCCATTTATTTCGATTTTTTTTAATAAATGACAAAAATTCATTTAATGTAGTTCACAATGTATCGTTAAGGCATAAAGTAGTAGGTTTTATTAGTAAAAGTAAGCAACATCTTAAAATCTACTAGAATGTCATGAAAATATAATGACGTAACTGGAAAAAAATAAGACTTCTTTTCATTAGATTAAGGTAATCATTTAATTTCGTGTGTATAACACAGATTCGCTTGGTTGACCAATTTATAAATACCTATTAAATATGAATAGGCTACTTATTATTTGACTATTATCTATAAGTATTTATGTCAGACAAACGTCTCAAGATTCGAAAATGAGAAACATATTCGTAGTTAAAGTGGCACTTTGGGCCACTGCCAACAGATTATTTTTTGTTTCTATAAATTCCTCATGTTGCAAAGAAGAAATTTCATCATTCTCATTTGCCCAATATAATTTTATATATAGTTAAAATAATGCACTCATCAATCAGCCATTAAAAATTACAGAATTTTATTACATTTATAAAGAAAACTGTAACGCTTTAAAATTGCAGCTTAGTAACCGCTAACAACTTAGTTACTATAGTGTGGCTGAGTAGTTCGATTTCACAAACAAAGTGTAACAAAAAGTTTGAAATTATTACAGCCGGTGTTCGTACTTGCAAAAACAATAAAAAGTAGAATTATAGGTAGTAAATAATATTAAATTCGCACAGTTTGTAAGGAATTAGTACTTTTTCGCGAATTAAATTTTTTTTCTTTACTTAAGCTGTGAAAAACAACATCAGTACGATGACCAGTTGAAATTTAATCTTCTTTCGCTACATTTGGACTGTCCTTGTGCCATTGTGTTGCATTTCAATTGTTAATAGTGCTTTGCAAGTTGCGAATCTCTAAAAAAATATTTAACATTCTATGGCTTATATACCTGCTCAGGTTTTTATTGCATCGCCACGTTTTTAATTAATGTTTCCTTTTTTGTGCAATTTTTAATCAATAATAAAAGTAGATGCATTTCAATTCGATATCATTTAAAAATATTATAATTTGAATTTAATTCGGTGACAGATTTAAATCGGGCAGATTTAAAAAGTATATCATACTATACTTAATATATGTTGTATACCTCCTCCATTAACTCAAGTTATGCAAACTAAGGAGTTTTAGTTAAAGCGAATCATGTCTGTGGCATCCGTAGATTTACTCAAATATTTTGCACGACAGTAAAGATATACATAATTTCATTAAGAAAGAAGACGTCCATAATATTAACCTTAGAACTAAGTTCAAGCTCATGGTACCATCATTTCGTTTAATTAAGGTAAATGATAATTTTATGGGGAACTGAGTAAGGTAAGGTAAGGTGCAGTATGTTTAAGATTATCATTTCCGAAGTTTAAAACTAACATTATAATGTTTTGATTGAAAAGCCATATCACAAAATTAAAGACTACGTATTAGATAAAGATCGAAAGAAAACATGGTTCTAGTAGATTCCATACAAATTTGATTCAATGTGTGTGTGAGCGTAGCTTGAAAATGATATTTTACCTGATGGAATAAATGATTTTTTGACTTTGACTCCAGTTGCAGGTGTGTAAATAAGATGGGAATAAACTAATACTCATTGTATTTACGAATTATTAACGAGTCATTTGTTTTGTATCAACACATCCACAATCAAAATCATGATATTTACTCATAGTCTTCCTTAAATTAGGTATTTACTGTTTCTACAGAACTTTATGCGGCACAAAAACGGAAAGAAATAGAAGGAAACTACATTCATACAACAATATTACACGACAAGGCGTGAACTATAATTTATTATAATTTGACATCTTCAATTTGAGATCCTTCATTAAATGATTTTCTGCACGGCGCTCTTGGATCTGAAAACAAAGCAGTTTTAAAAAGTGTCTTAAAAGACAACGAACTTGTTCATTGAAAATTTAAATCAATTGTTTCGCAGAAGCGAAACAGAAGTTAGCGATTCGTTTATAATATCTAAGTTTTTAAAAGTTTTATAAGGAAACCCTTTTTAATTAATGAGTTGAAACATTAAAGGTCTTGAGTTTTTGTATTCGTTAAATATTGACGTAAAAAATTTAATACGCATATTTAGCTACTTGCTAAGTAAGTGGTACTACTAACTAACTTTTCTACATTGTCTTGGATCTGGGTGTTTGTGCTACCGACGTTAACACAAGTGCTTTAGTTACTTCTTTAGGATCAAAGTATTGTATGTGGTGTTGTCTAATATTTAATAATAAAAAAAAGCACTGAGTCCACAATTTACTAACGCACTTTAGTTAATTTAAAGATGTAAAGTATGCCACAAATCTCACCAATTTCGCTTTCATTGTCAGTTTTTTTCAATAACCAAGAGCCTAAATGATTGGTAAGCAGGAATCCAATAGGAGTAGTGATGAGGATGGCTTGCACGATGAGTCTCATCAGGTCTTCGGCGTACTCGAGTTGCTCTTTATCGTGATTATTTTTCATGAGCAGAGTGTTCGTTGCAACGGGGCACAATACGGCCTGGAAATATTAGCCATTATCAAATTAAACTTTTTGCTACTGTTTAAGGCTCAACTCACACTGGCGCAGAGTGGAAGCGTCGCGTCGCGTCCTGTTTTTCAACTACAACGCTTGGCGACGCGCGACGTCGCGCGAAGTCGCTCGACTGCAACCAAACGTCGACGCGCGAAAGTACGCGTCGTCGCGTTTCCATATTTGTATAACATAAATTTGTGCCTTAATAATGGGAAAATAGAAATGAATATGCTATAGGCGAAAAACATGACGCGTCGCGATGTTTCCACTCTGCGCTAGTGTGAGTTGAGCCTAATTGACAGTGGTATTCGTTGTGCCACCTTATTTCGGCAACTCTACGTTGTGACTATTTGTGTGGGGTGAATTTTGATTGAATGAATATTGATTTAAAAGGTCTAAGTTTATTCTAATATTGTTATTTAAATGCGGCCTACGGCCTACGGCTCTGAGACGTGGTCACTAACTATGGGCCCCATAAAAAAGCTCAAAGTCACTCAACGAGTTATGGAGCGAGCAATGTTCGGCATTTCTCTACGTGATCGAATCAGAAACGTGGAGATCCGTAGAAAAAACGAAAGTCATCTACATAGCTCGAAGGATTAGCAAGTTGAAGTGGCAGTGGGCAGGGCACGTAGCTTGTAGAACTGACGGTCGTTGGGGCAGAAAGGTTGAATGGAAACCACGAACCGGAAGGCGTTCTGTGGGGCGGCCCCCTACTAGATGGACGCAAGGGCGGCGGGTAACCGATGGATGCACGTCGTGTCCGATCGGCTGGTCTGGAAATCTTTGGGGGTGGCCTACGTTCAGCAGTGGACGTCTTCCGGCTGACATGATGATGATGATGATTTAAATGATTGAAACTAATAGCCTGGTAGCAAGCGACACGCCTGTACATAACAGTTACAGTGCCGCTCTGGGTTTTAGATTGCAAAGATCTGAGGGGCACTGCCACTGCGCCCGTCACTAAACTACACCCTGAGACACAAGTTTCATGTGCCCGTAATTCATCAGCTCCCTTTCTCTTCAAAACCGAAACACGGTACATTACTGCTTGGCAGCAGAAATAGGTTAAGGTGGCAGGACTGCCCTGGACGGACACTTTCCCTACTACAGCTCTACTGCTACTAAAAATTATGAATGTTTTTTTTTTGTAAAAAACGTAGTTGTTTTTGATATTTTAAATCTATTTATAAATTGTATTTGATGAGATAAATGAAACAATTCAATGTCTCTTTAAATCTTCTCATATTTTGTATCTGACACCTGAGATGTCAGAAAATCAAAGCCAAATACACACATACATGTGTGCGCCGCGACATTGTTAAAGCTATTGTTTGTCGAATAGACAATTGATTACTGATTGTAGTATTGTTCTACACACCTATTATATTGTGGGAATGTTTCCTAAACATTGTGTGCAAACAGATGTTCGATTTTAGTATGACACACTTATAATTGAGGCAAGATTATTGTTAGGTTTATAATAGTTTAATATTTCTAATTGGTCGACAGAAGCTAGAAGACGTACCAAATGGTGAGCGAATACCCTCACATTCCCCCCTTTATTAAGTAATTTTATAGATATTGTTAACACACTTTTTCAATATTAACTTTATTGAATATCACGATGTTTTAATAATAATAATAACGCACACACCTAAAATAGCCCTGCACTAGAGAAACCCTGTGTCGCGGGTGCCATGGACACACACATAGACAACCACAAATTACACCCAAACTCACGAGAGAAATAAATGTGGGTCTTACAAATATTTCTCCCGGCCCGGGAATCGAACCTGAGACCTCTGCGTGGCAGTCCGGCATGGTAACCGTTCGGCCACGGAGGCAGTTAACTTACTACCATGATATAATTTTTTTTTAATTACTTCACTAGTTTGTTATTATTATTAATACAAACATTAATAAATATAAAGGTAGTAAAACATTGTGATGTTCAATAAACTTCATATTACAATTACTATAGCGACGTCTTTGTATAGTCAGCCGCTGGTAACTGTAAAGGTACCTGGCTGAGTGAAGAAAAACGTTCATAGATATTTCACAGATGGCTACGGCTAAAACTCGTTAAAAACCAAAAACAAAGATCTGCAACAAGTACATAGAAAAATTCATAAGGTCTGCTGGTTCGTTTCGTAGCTCAGTTGGGAGAGCGTTGGCACGGTATGTTGAAGACGCTGGTTCAATCCAGCCGGTTTGAAGGAATTTTTCTTGGTGTTCTATATTTGTATTAATAATTATAACACATTTTTCAGTTAAATCGACCTTTATCGTAATGTCTCTTTCAAAGATATACGAAACTATTCTACTATTACAAATACCTCTTACAAGTATCTTTTTTGCAATAGTGTTATTGTCATGTCTGGTTAAACGATAAAATATGTTAACTCAAATGTCTGCAAAGTCGTGCTAGTTTAATAAAAGTAACAACTTTATTCTAATTATATCGTAACAATAAGATCTCATTATAATTAAACATTGTTTATAATAAAATAAAGACTTTTTCAATTCAAATTCATTAATTCAAATAGTTTTATAAATACGTTTTGGCAAGTCTAAATCTCCGTAGTATCCGAATAATACGGCACGAAGTTCTTTCGGATTTTATCCACTTAAACTTTAAGTAATAGAATAGAGATGTTCATAGTAATACTAAAAAGTCCTAAGGTATGTATTTATGCTAACATTTAGTCAATTTATGCTTTGACTTAGGCGCTACTTTCTATAATCACGACTAACATAACTTCTTGAAAGAAAGTTTAGGGTACCCACCCACCTCTACAATAGATTTAGGCGTCCATGTACAGCACACAAATAGCCTTTCCTTTAGAGTCATATCCCAGCATACGAGAGCCGTTACGGTTAGTCTCACGCACAGGCATATCGCTAAGATGGCCAGGCCATATAAGAACGTGTTCCAGGTTGCGGAATTTAACTGTTGAAAAAAAAAGAATGACTTATATACACAGCACCTCTAGTTTTCACCAAAAATTTGAAGAGATAAAGAAAGAAGGATACTAGAGCAGACCACTCAAATGTTAGTATTAGAAGTAAACAAATAATTGTAATTGTAAAACAGTAAAACCATAGAAATTGTTTGACTTTTAAATTCCAACCAGCAGCATAGAATTTGTTCTTTACCTTAATTTATGAAACCGCTGCTACAAATAAGTTTCTGACAGTTAATTTCTGTTATTCAAACTTGATAAAAAACTGAGGAGAAACAACAAACCACTATAAATGTGGCGGAGTAAGCAAAGACCATGGGCTCGGCGGCAGCATATAATACCCTGTAGGCCGTTGATGCAGTGTTGTTGTTCAGCTTCCAGCCGTCTCTCCTCCAGAATGTTGCTGCTGTAGCGTTGCAGGCTAATACCGCCACTCCACCTTCGTATTACATATATGTAGTCGGTTTCCTAAGGTATCCAGATGTTATTGAAAAATGTAGACATCAAGGAATTTTGAGTTTACTTGTATTAATTAGTCACGAAAAGAAAAAGTTTGGTGAAAAATTAATATCATCTGTCATTTATTCTACCACTTAAGGTAGGGGGACACAGTATATATTCTGCCACTCATTCATTGAAAGCAAAACTAAAACGCTTATTAGACTACATTAATTCAAAGGCCCTGCGTAAAGGATGAGCGTGGCCCCTAGTCAGGTTGCCGCCGCTCTTATTAACTGAAATATAAGGCGCCCAAATTGGGACTCTAACTCCCTATTAAACCTCCCTCTGTTAGATTTAGGGTCCCCTGAAATAGTATAGTATAAAACACTTATTTTGCCTCTCATCAGGTAGTTTTGTAATAACATTTTACATGAAGATAACAGATAAATAATAGAGTTCAATATAATTCGTTTTTATGGATCGTAATTACTACCTGTACTTCTAAAATAGTAGACGAAAACTAAAACAAATTAAGCTTCACATAACATGTTGGCTAAAGGAATACGAAAGGACATTTCAAACCTTCAACAAGTAATAATTCTATTAGTACACACCTACACCACCCCAGCCAATCTGTGTTGAGAAAAAGTTTCCAAAGAGGCCACCGAGTAAAACGAAGAGCACCCGCATCTCTGCGACGTAAAAGTCGAGTGTATGTGGTAGAAGCCCTGCAAGTGAGCCCCAGATGACACCCACTGTGACTCCCACCAACAAAGTTGACCCTGCCTGCACATGTGAGAAATTGTGAGCATTCACTTTAAAACTTTAGGACTGAAGAACGAGAAGTCGTTTTCTTGGTTCATAAACCAAAAGTAATAATATCGTAGCTCCAATATCAGGGTTTCTATAATCTTGGAATTCCATTTCAGAAAACACTTTGTAGAAATTTTGGTACCTAACTGCTGAATATGTAAATGAATCTTTCGTTTCTTAGCATCACTAGGTAAACTAAACCGTTCGAGCTATGTGTGGGTTCCGATGTTTCAGTAAATCTTTGTTAGTTGGTTAAACTTTTGAAACAGTATTTGAAGGGGAAAATGAACTATACAGAGTGTTTTTTAATAGGAAAGTATGCAGTATGGGAAAGTCCGAAACCATAGAAGATACGAGAAAAGTGTTTTATGAAAAAAACTTCTGCTGGCCCGATTTTTTTTATCCCATACAATGAAATAATCCCTTCATAAAACTGAGTCAATTAGCACAAAAAAACATGTTGATCAATTTTATTAATTTTTATGGACAACTCACGCTTGACCAAAACATTTACTATGCAAAATTGTTTTCACAAAAAAATACTTAATGGTTCCTATGACAGTTTCCGTGTATTTTCTACGGTTTCGGATTTCCCCATATTGTCCCATTTTAAAAAAACACTCCGTATAACAAAACTAATTAAATCTTTATTTACCCATACTTCTGTATACATTTGCGGCTGTTGATTTTAAGACTCGATACAGGAAATTACAGACGCAAAACAAAATTAATGGCAAAATAAACTTACTGGAAGTTATTTTATGAATTAGGAAAATTTTCCGAAGTAATTATTATTGAAAATTTGAAACAAGAGACGATTTTTTATCGGTTTTCACTTGTTTATGTCAACCTTTCTTGTTAAAGAAAGGAAAATCAGAAGCGATAAATCGCTTCCCTCGCTGTTTTACTGCTGCGCAGATTTTGATTAACTGCAATTTCACATACAATTTGTTTATCATATATAGTGTTATCGCATAAGCTGCGTACCATAAAGAAGAACGTAACAAGTTTTTCTGCTATTTATATACCAGCGAAATGGTCGTATTATAGGTGTGCAACCAAAGAGTTCCTACATTATTGAGTGTTCGTTCGCTTATATTACCAAAACTGATCTATGTATCAGGAAATTCGTTACGCGTTCGGCAAGCGTGACGGGGAGTCTAGAATATCATTAAAATTGATACGTTTGGCACCCATTATACAATCATTTCAATTCCATACACACTGGAAGTTTATATTGTTCACATTCGCTTGCAATCTTATCTGAAAGGTACAGGAACTAAAAGATTTTACGAATTTGTATCACAATACGACTGTTATGTTTGTATTTGTTTCCTGCTCACAAGTTTCACTTTTTCCATTCAAGTTTTTACCTGTAGGTATCATTTTATTCGCTAAAATGGTAAATATTAAAGGTGATATTTATCCTGAAGAAAACTGTTTTATGTGTTCTGGAAGTTTGACTTAAAAAGGACGCGCGTAAACGATATAAATTGGCTGAAATGAAAAACTTTTTAATATAAAAGCCGGAATATCAGCAACATATGTTTTAGTTCCAAAAACAACTTTAAGACGCTCTGGTAGAGTTCGAATTTAATTTTTGTTGGAAGACTCTGTTAAAAGTAAATGGATCTTTAGCTTAATACCCACCCACAGAGACGTCACTTACTTTTATATATTTGTAAGTGTCATCAACTTCAACGAATATATACGAGTAAATGAGTCCGTAGACACCGACACTCAGCGCCGTGTCCGTACCGCCAGCAGTGCAGATTAGCTGCGCCCAGTTGCGCGCACCACTTTTGCTTGCGCTAATGCGGCAAACCGACGGCATTACTATGGCGCATGATACTGATGCATACAACGAACCCAAAAGAAGACCTGAGAAAAAATATACAAAGTACATATCTAATATGCGTAAATTATGTTTATAAATAACTTACATCAAAATCAATTTAACTTCTAAATGTTCCTGTCTTAATATGTGTATATACATATATTATATATAATTAAATTTGTATTGAATTGATATTCAATTATTTTTAGTGAAATTACTCCACAAGTTTACTATATTTATTAATACAAAGATTGAACACTTCAAAAAATTCCTTCGATCCAGTTGGATTCGAACCGACGCGACGTCGCCTAGCAAACCGTGCCAACTAAGCCACGGAACGAACCAGCGCACCTCACGATTATTCTATGTGCTTGTTGTCGGATCTTTGTATTTCTTTTTAGCCCTAGCGCCATCTATGACACACACACACATATGCATATATATTACATATTATATTCTTCTGAGCCAATCATGTATTAATAAATTGTGTCTATTTATTACGATCACTTACGCGGATAAGCGGCAAAAACATGGCACTAAAAGAAATGTGAACACAAAACACGCATTTCAAAACTTTTGGCTTTGATGTGTAGTCTGGAAACGGTCTGAGTTATTACAGGTAGGCGAATGTGGTTCGCGCTCGGATTGAGCATTGCTGAGTGTGGGTCCGTAGCAGTGTAGTGGCGGCGCACCTCCCACGCGTTGTACCGACTAAAAAGCCCGTCATGCGGCGAAAATGCATTCAAATCTTTTGGAATACGAGTTCCGCAGCAGAATTTATTGAATTGGCTTTGTATCGCGCACACATCGCGCCCCATTGTGTTTTGCGTTCGTGACAAATTTCATTTTATTATGGCGAGGTGTACGGATCCCGTACAATCGAATACCAATTTACAGTTCAGATTTCGTTTAAATGCGTTATTAAATTGAAGCTTTTAAACTGCTGCAGTATGTTGTGGTGCATTTCATAGTGATTGATGCACTTTATTACTTATTCCGGAGAGGATTTGCGGTTCATCCCATTGTCCGATTATAACCTAAAGGTCTTTTGTATCATGTCAGATTTAGTTCACACTACTATCCTTGTGACAGGAGCACTTAGAGCAAATGTATGTCGGAAGTTATTGTGCACACGAAATGTTTTTAAACCATATGGATAATAAACATATTAAACATTTACATTACTTAAAAAAATAACCCAAATATAAAAATATGGAGGCATTAAATATCTTTACAGTACAAAAAATATAAAATAATATATATTACTTACCCCAAATCCAGGGGAATCCCAACAGTAGATTGGTGCAGATCATAACAGTGACAACTTCAGCAGCCCACGGTATAACACCTAGGACTGAAATTTGCTGCCAGTTCTCTCTAATGTAACTCACGTCCCATCCAAGTGACGCTTTACCCAATATAAGCACAGGGTATACTTTTCTAAAAAAATACCACTAACTTTTAGAATATTAATATGAATATATAATATTGAATAATGTTCACTTATAACTACAATATTTTAAGGATAATTGTTATGTAACAAATTAAATTAATTATTTGGTGTTGTTATGGAATTTTGTAGTTTAAAAATAATTGGCGTTTGTCTCTATTCCTCTTTTTTTTGTTTACTAGGTAGTCTCATCTTTAATAAAAGAAAGTTACGAAATTTGTTTGTAGAGGTTTTCGCTCTGTCTACGGCAGCTGATAACGATTTGTAACTGCTTGTTAAGGAATACCTTAGGAAGGCGTCGATCTCTATGAAATCCCGCATATCTAAAATATTGAAGTTTCGAGCTAATATTCCAGTGAGTAGTGCCGCTAACAATGGGGGCAATGTGGTGAAACCGTGAAGCAGTTGCCCGCTGCTCCAAGCTACAACAGCTACTGCTGCCAAGCGAAACCATGGCCCATCCCAGCGCCAATTGTCACCAAATGCGCACCATAGTAATCCCCATAAAATGAGTCCTATAAGAAATAGTGTGATGAAAGAACACTGCAATATTATTTAACCAATCAATACATACTAGCATATTTTAATAGATGGAATAAATATGGTCTCTAAAAAAGATCAAGATTACTTAAAATTTTGCACTTAATCAAGGCTAAATCTATCTATCTACTTACCAAGTACGAACAGTGTGAGAAAGTGAAATATGGACTTAGCCGCTATAGAATTATACCCAGAATTTTTCTTAATTTTTTCGTCGCCCGTATCATTTCTATCAGTGTTGTAATTCACCGGGAAACCCGTAGTTCTGGAAAGGGAAAAGAATACTTCAGGTTCCTCCTTACGTTACGATAACTTAAGAACGAAATAGCTTTCGACTCACGAAGAAATTCGCATAATGTCGCGGTCCTTAATACTCGGCGTACTGACTAATAATTTGTCATCTTCGTTCATATTATACTTGTTTAATTAATATAGATACGAAGTTTAGTGTCGTTCGTACAGACAGAGTTATGATGTTAGATGTAGTTGCTGCTTAGATTAAACACAGTATTAACTTTTCCGTATAGTACATTAGAGGAAATTATGTATTTCTTTGAAACACTATCACGACAAGCAAGTGAATTTGTTGTCTAAATTAGTTAAATTTTATGAAATGTACATACTTACTCACGTTTTGATTTCTTTTGGGACATACGGGGAACGTTATCAGCCCAGTTACTCTTCTTATCTGCAATGTAACATATGTAGTAAATCACTGTAAAATCATTGTCAAACAATTACGATCGTGTCGGTGTATTCGAGCAACGAGAACAGTGGTTTATTGAATATATAATTGATAACATTATTAAATAAAGTTATGTTTGTTTCGATTCCACGTTTGTTAATCAACGAGCCTCTTTATTGCTCAAGAATGAGCGCACTGTTTGATTTAGACACATAAACTTAAAATTTTTGTAATTTTTTTGTGTTGTTAGTCTACTGTCTAAATTAATTAAAACAAATGTTTGAATATTTCCCCTTACTCATTTCATCGATGGCAGAAGAATTAGCATATACTTGTATAGGATATAGCTTCATGCGACTCAAGTGCGATTTTGTGAATTGTTATTTATACCTGACACAAACCAGTCATGAGCTGTTCAGACAAGCTAAGGTTCCGTTGCCATTATTTAATTCGGCTTAGTTACATTCTATTTCAACGTTGTTTTAAATGCTATTGTAATCTGTCAACATTTAGTGAGATTTACAAAACGTACCCTTGGTATAATAAAACCACAAAATTCTTTTTTCACGTGAAACAATCGACAAACCTTTTTCCTCAAAGTTGTCATTTTGCAGATGTGGCTTTATTACACCAAACTCTCAGCTATATAATTATACCTATCCGCTCCACACCTTGAGACAATCTGTAACGTGGGCATTACAGTGTTTCAATTTTAAAGGGAAGGATGCTGGTGAAATTACAGGTACATGGCACTTGTCAACTTATGTTTTCTTTTTTACACACACTCCTAGCTCCGCACTAGGGAAATTCCTTTTCGCGGGCGCCATGGACTCACACTTAGACAACCACAAATGACATTCAATTTATGATACCAAGTAACAGTAGACTCTTTCACAAGGAGCTCTATTGCTACTAAATGTCTTGTTACAGGGTTATACTTTTTGTTAGATGGGAAAAAAGAATATCATTGCCATATTTCTTTTTGGTTTCTTTTTTTGTCGTTAACCCAAGTTTAGTATTCACACCAAATATTGTGACTCGTGAGTAAAATAGTCGTACATACATACATCTGTATGCCATAGACACAACAAAACTGCAAGCGTTGATTCACATCGCGAAGACATTCGCGATTGTTACACATAGGAAGCGAAACTATTTTTTTTTACCATAATGACTATAGTCAACCGTGACCATGGGACCTGTAAAGGGCTCGAAAAATTGGTTTATTTGAAAAAACAAATATGCGCGATTTAAATCCGGAAAAATAGTTTCATTTCTTAAAAAACTCTTCAATTTAATAACTAACTATTAGAGTCGACGCATATACGAGTACAGTCATTCCTATTAAGAATGTCAACGGAATCTTATGAAACGTTATTTATTTAAGATTGATAATAAAAATGATAATAAAGTAAATACCATGTATTTACGAGTATATATAAAGAATTGCAAAGATTACTGGCTTTATTTTTTTTATACACAGGAACGAGGGATACGTATTTCTCTATTACCGTAATAACTAACTATATTATTATAGTTCTATGTACAGAACTATAATGAACATTTTTATAGTTCAATAGCGAGTACCATAGATAATAGAATTATGATTAAAAAGAGTAGAAAACAACATTTTTTTTTATTCTATAGGGAATCGCGAGTGCGATACTGGGTTTCCTTAGTGCGGAGCTATGAGTGTGTGCGTTATTATTATTTCAGATTCTCTCGCTTCCCTCAAGCCTAAAAGATTAATTTTGAAATTTGAAATGGGAGTCGTCAGTCGGCCGGTGTCAGGGACGCAGGTTCAAGGACCAGCAAAAAATATCGAGCAGGACTGCCTTCTGCATTTGTGCTGGAAGCGACACGCCACAGAAATCAAACCGCCTCAAACTGCTAGGAAAGCTGACTGGAATTAACCCATTTGCGGACAAAACTACAGGTCGAGATACTTCCGACGTTTCGGTTTCGGCTTTCACGAGACCCTCGTCATGTGGGATGGTGACGTCCACAAGAAATACCCTCTATTGCGATCGATCCAATATCACAATGTCAGGCTTATTCGCAAGAATAGTCCTGTCTGTGATAACGGATCGATCCTAATAGATTTTGGTGCGGTCGTCTTGGCGTATTATTATGTTTGTGGTTACGGAAAAATATGATTTTTGCTAAGGCACCACATAATATTACACGTTGTAGTGTCTCTTTATACTTAAACATATATTTGTGGTATATTCGAAGTATTGAATATTTGATATTATGATATAATTAGTTTTGAAAGTCTAAAGTTGAGATGTATACAACGCACGATGACTTCCACTAAGCAAAAATGGCGATAGGTACTTTCAATATTAACTGCCTCCGTGGCCAAACTGTTACCATGCTGGTTTGCCACGCGGACGTCACGCGACACAGGGTTTCCCAAATACGGGGCTATGAATCTGTGCGCTATTAATATTATTTCATACATAGCACAAATATAAGTTTAAGTATAAAATTCATTTAAAAATTAGTGTTTTGTATTTTTTCAAGCACAGCGCGTAGAAAAAAAAGATCGTATCTGTGATAAGTACCGTTATTACATTACCTGTAAGAATTACTATAATTGAAGCTCTTTTACGAAATAGCTATTAACGTTGAAACTTTTGTTTTGTATGTAAATAATGTCCACTCTGTAATAAATTATAATAATCACTTGTTGGTAATTAAACCTTTAGTTACTAGCTGGTGCCCTCGACTTCGTCTGCGTAGAATAAGTACTTCGAATAGCATACTTAACCCCTGTTTTACCTTGAGGGGTAATACTAGGTGAAAAACGCTGAAACATTATTTATTTCTTACAAAAGACATAAACATGAATTTTCAGATCCCTTACTTGAGAAATTATTGTGAATATTGTGTAGTACATATTTGGATTTAAAAAAATATTGTGTACAAAAAAATGTAAGTTAAGGTTATTTGTAGTTAGAGGCGCACTCGATCGGTCATGGTTCACCACAGTTGATTAAATTGTTACCCAACAAAACGGTTAAAATTTCACGTTACAATTTATATCGATTATTTAAATCATTGTTTGGACTTGCAACGTTTTGTTTAATGTGTTTTTACTAAAAAAAATTGTTGTCTGAAATTTTTGATGAATGTTACATTACTATTTTAAAAGTTTAAATAGTTTTACTTGTTTACTCTTTCCAAATTGCACTTCGTTTAATGAAATTCTCTATATAAACTTTGTCGATTTCTAATGTCTATAATCATGTTTTATTAGAATCATTATCCTACAATTTCAATTTCAATAACTTTTAATAATATTTATATTTTGTAATTCGGATTCGCCTTGTTACAAATGAGGTGCTTTAAAATACAACCCGGTAAAATATAGATCCAAATATAGATTCAAAAGTCCAAAATGAAATTGATAATTACAAAGGGCTACGTACCAAGCATGGTTGGGTTCTGCATCCACAAGTTTCCTAGAATTAAAACTGACACTAAATACTTATAACTAGGTGCTTTATTAAAGAAGACGACTGAAGGTCTGAACATTATGGAAAATATAAGTGAAGTGACCGTTGGAATCGCGTACGTAAGCTAGAAGGCTGAACGGAGCATTCTAGCGACACCAGACACGTCACGGGCCAAATCAATAATCATAATTGTCATTTGCCGCTGAACACCCGGTAGCCGATTGTGTACATTCTACGTTTGAAAAGGCCAGTTTACTTATGCATTTATTCTCAGACAAATTCCGACTAATTGGGACAAATTCGACCTCGTTATTAATAGCAATAATTTAGCAAGTTAATTGATGATTCGCATTTGCATTGTCGGCATTGAATCATTTTATGTGGTACATACTTATTGTTTGAATACAACATTAAGTACCGTACCAAGATGAAGAGTTGATAAAATGTTTTAATGTAAGCAAGAGTATAGGATAATTAACAACACGTATACCCAAAAATTCTTATTTCCATTGATATAAAACATGTTTTAATTGTTTTGGTATACACAATGTTATTGAATGTTAACAGGTGAAAATCATAATTTTTAAACTAACAATTCCAGAGACTTTAGTGACTTTACCTCTAATCAAATGCAAGTTTTGTGCGTAAATAATGTTTCTAAAATGTCTACACCTTTTTCACTAGTCCCATTATTTTTATTTGGAAATTTCATCATCATCATCATGTCAGCCGGAAGACGTCCACTGTTGAGCAAATTCGAAATTTAACACATGGTGAATTTTAACTTTATGTGCAAGGTTTGTATACCTTACAATTAATTCGTATTCTAATTGTGCAGGCTGAAAAATTAATATTGTTATAGGTACACAAATATTTGAGTTGGAAAGAGTACCTTTTTACATATTTATTTTTCGCATTGTCCTTACGTTATACAAACTTTTTCGATTCTAAGGTAATAAATATAACATTCGTTACTACTACGAGACCTCTGTAGAATGATAGTGGTATTGACATAAAAATAAAAGGTAATAAATAAAATAAAAGAAAAAGATAAAGTTGCATTAAACATTTATTTCATACCTAAAAGGTACAAGACATTAAGTAAAATAAAAAAGAAGAGATAAAGTTGCATTAAAAAATTTATTGAATGTCTATGTATGATAGAGCACTTGTGTTAATATTTCGTCTATTATCCGACGATTGGGGAGGCGACAACGTTTGCGTTCTGTAGAAATCTGTAAGAGAGTTTATTTTATTAAGCAAATCGTACTATATAATAAAATAAGAATAGGTGCTGGTTATATTAAACTCGACAAAGTGTTATCACTTCAACCACTACAGTTAAAGTAATACATTGTGAGTAGCTTAACCTCGTATACACGAGAGAATTCTGTGTAAGAATTTTCATTTCAGCAGATGTACTTATTTATTTATTTAGATAACTTTTTACCGTAATAAAAAATACTAGACGAGCGGGTTAGATACCTTCGGGAGCGACTCTGGAGTCCTGGGAGAGAAGTATTGGTCCTAAAATGGTCGTAAGCGTTGATCCTATGGTCGACGTTATGAGTATAGCAATAACGATGATATTCGAGTGTTGGGCAGCGATTCGTTCATCTTGGTTGGTAGCACCGTCCGTCCAGAGGGAATCCGTCGCCACCCGCACCAACACGGCCTGAAATGACATTCTGATTGAAATACGATTTTATGAATACCTTTATCATAATAAATCGGAGCCCTTATTGCGAGGACGGCAAATGAGAAAAAGCTAAAAAATGGAATAGTATTTGCTTTATACCTAACTATAACACGACTGACGAGACGCAAATAGTATTTTATTCAATTATTATTGCTTATAGCGGATGTAAATAGGAATGCGTTGAGTCCAAAAAATTACTTTAAAAAAAATAGAATAAAAGTGAAGGTAAAAAAATGTAATGTCTTGGATAATACTCTGAAATCTAGTAAATGATGTAACGGAATGGAGATGTCGTCAGAAATAAATTAGATATGTTTACGTAATTAGTATTTTATCGGATACGATGACACGTGAATGATACAGGTGTATGTGCAATTTAGTTCTTCCAAAATCGATTTGTAAGCAAATGGGATCCGTACAGAAATCACTTCTATTACGTGGGGCGCACTATAAGTTTCCAGAATGAATAAGAAAAAAATACTATAAATGGTCAGAAATGAGTTCATTGTTTCTCAAAATATTCTCCGTTAGCGTTAATGCACTTTTTCATACGAATGAAACAATTTTGAAAACATTTATGCCACTCCTCCGTGACAATCTCTGAAACATATTTTTCATTCTCTTCAACAGCCTCTTCAGGTGATGAAAATCGTTGACCGCGTAACTGGTTCTTAATTTTTGGAAATAAATAAAAATCACAAGGTGCCAGGTCGGGACTGTCCGCGGGATGGCTCATAAGGTCAACGTTGTTCATCTTCAAAAATTAATTTGTCTGTCTGGCCGTGTGAGGACTGGCATTATCGTGGTGCAAGATGATACGGCGTTTACGGTTATTACGGATTATACGGAGTTTGTCAATAACTTCCGGCAAACAAATGGTCGTGTAACAATCACTATTCACGGTACAATGATTTTCCAAAGCAACAGTAACCACATGTCCAGTTTTATTAAAAAAAGAAGCAATCATCCGCTTAGAGGCACTTTACATGCGCGCCACTTTGGTTGGTTTCAGGTCATTTCGAAAGGCCCATACGCTCGATTACCGCTTTGTTTTGGGATCGCAACTATAAATCCATGTTTCGTGACCTGTTACTATGACCAAATCTGACGCTCCTTCGTTGAAACTGATAAGCATCGCATTGCACCAAGTGACGCGATCCGGTTTTTGAGCCTCAGTCCAATTGTGTGGGATCCACCGAGAGTACAGCTTTTTCACACCCAAATGTTTGTGTAGTATTGATTGTATTTGACTCATGCGTATGCCTAAAGATGCCCGAATCTCATGGTATGTCACATGCCTGTCTGTTTTGCGGTATTTGCACAGCATCGATATTTTTGTTGTTCATAGCAGTGGACGGGCGACCATCACGAAATTCGTCACTGAGATTCACACTACCGCGTTTGAATCCTGCAAATCAGCTATAATTAGTCGTCTTGCATGGTGCTTCATCGCTAAAAGCAGTTTGAAGCCGAGCGAAGCTCCGCTGAGCTGTTACATTACACTTAAAGTCGTAGAAAATCATACTACGAACATTTTCACGAATTAAATCCATGGTGATGTAGACAACCAATTTCTAAATTGACGCCACAATGTAAAAACAAGTGACAGTCAGATGAAACAAACTGTATTCTACAGCCAAAGAGTTCAATTTTCAAATGTTGTAATTATTTTTAAAATATTGTTTATGTAAGTGGCCAGTTCCGGAAACTTATAGTTCGCCCTATGTATTGTATAAAGTTGGCAGGAATTTATTTTGATACACATTTTTTTTATGATACCAAGTGACAGGACGAACAACTCATGCGCCTGGTGGTAAGCGTCACGCCTGTCCAAAACAGTTCCGTTCAGAGCTTTAAATCGCAAAGATCTGAGGAGCATTGCCATAGCGACCGTCATCCTAGGACGTAAGTTGAAAAGTCACACGTGCCTGTAATTCCTCCAGCACTCTTACCCTTAAAAACCGAAACGCTGTAATGCTGATTATGGATACTAATAATTTTATATGGATACTAATAATTTTATTAGTAAATATTTTTATTTGACTAAAGATAGGTATTATCTTACTAGTTATTTTAGGAGACAGATAGCAGAGATGCTATCATATTATATTAATAATTCAGCCAAATCATTGGCTACCAGACCGGCTGCTTCTATTGAGCAGTCCGTTGACATAGGTCAGTTTACTGACAATAATAATTCTGTTGAAATTAATTCAATTTCTAATTATTTAAATTAATTAATAAGACAACGGAGAGATACTCTTGCAACACATTGATAGTAAGAAACCAACCTAAAACACACAGAAATAAAATAAATTTTATATTAAACCTGGTGCACCAAAATATTCAAGGCATGAAAGGCAAAGAGCTAGAAATAGAATTATTTATTAACTGTAACAATATTGATATTCTTTATATTACTGAACACCACTTTCTATCACAACATCAGTTCATGTTTAGCATCAACAATCACCAGGTGGCTAGTTCGTTCAGCAGAGAAAAAGCTATTCATGGCGGCTCTTTAATTCTTATTAAAAATAATTTAAAATTTAAAGAACGTACAGATATTGTGAGCCTATCTATTGAGCGGACTATAGAGATATCCTGCATAGAGCTTGAACGGCTTGTTATATTAAGCGTGTACAGACCCCCTCATTCATCTTACGAACTATTTGAAAAAAGATTAGATGAAGTTTTAGCCAAATTAAATAATATAAATAAATATATTGCTGTTTGTGGTGACTTCAATGTTAACTTATTAGAAGATTCCAGTGCTAGCAGTAGGCTCATATCATTTTTCCAATGTTATAACCTTGTGAATCTTTTTTTGGTGCCTACTAGAATAACTTCTACTACTGCCACTTGTTTAGACAACATTTATACCAACGCCGTACCTAGTAATAAATCTATTATAAATAAATTAACTTCAGATCACTGCGGTCAATTGGCCACTTTTAATATAACTGTTGACAAAATGCCGAAAAAGGATATCACATGTGTTCCGATAAATAATGGTCGACTTAAAGCTTATAGAAATAACGTAATGCTTAAACTAACTGACATTCCGTACGTTAACGATCCCAATAAATTGTATAATTCAGTTTTCAACATAGTGAAAAGTGAACGTGATAATGTTTTTAAGTCCAAAATCATAACTATTAATAATTCATTGAAATTTAGTGAATGGGCGACTGTGGGAATTCACAAAAGTAGACAAAGGCTATATGATCTTTACGATGAAAGAACTTATAACACTAGTAACAGTTTTAATGATTTTGTTAGGAAATATTCGAAAATGTTTAAACGTGTTTGTGTGGCAGCCAAAGCAATGTTTATTAATAATAAAATAAAAAGCAGCGCGAATGTAGTAAAAACGACTTGGAATATTATAAATAGCGAAACTGGAAGGGTCAAACCTCGTAACTTAGATTTTCAACTAAGATTTAATGACAAAATTGTAAACACAGACGCAGAAGTTGCTAAAATATTTGAAAATTTTTTTACCGACATTCCAATTTTGACTACTAATTCGTTAAATTCATCTCCCACGGCCGCTGAATCCTTACTAAAAGAAAATAATGCAGTTAGTATCACTAATTTAAGGTTCCGTCATGTATTTCCAAACGATATTGTTAAAGCCTTTAAGTCTAAAAAATACTGCTGATCTTGATGGTCTTTCAGTCAGAGTAATTAGTTCTATAGTTGATTGTATTGCGCCTTACTTAGCCTGTGTCTTTAATAAATGTGTTGATGATGGTGTCTTTCCTGACCTCATGAAGCAAAGTAAAATTATTCCACTTTTCAAATCTGGTAGTATTTCTGACCCCACCAATTTCAGACCTATATCAATACTACCAACTCTCAGTAAAATATTTGAAAAAATTATTCTAAATCAGATGTGTGCACATTTTTATAGTAATAATTTAATGTCTCCTAAACAATTTGGTTTCACTCGGGGTCGCTCTACAACCGACGCTGGTGTAGAGTTGATTAATCATATATTTGATGCATGGGAAGTCTCACATGATGCTATTGGTGTATTCTGTGACCTTTCCAAGGCTTTTGATTGTGTGCACCATGATACACTGGTCAGGAAACTTCGCCATTATGGTGTGGCGGGACGTGATCTCGACCTTCTTAAATCGTATTTGCGTGGTAGGGTACAGAGGGTCGATGTTAACGGTACGAGATCGTCAGGGTCTGTAATTAGCATGGGTGTCCCTCAAGGTTCAATTCTAGGCCCATTTTTGTTTTTAGTTTATATTAATGATTTACCTAGCCTTATGGAGGGTATAAAACATGAGATAGTATTGTTTGCTGATGATACTTCCTTATTATTTAAAGTTAAAAGGCACCAATGTTCTTATGACGATGTGAACAATGCTATATCTAAAGTAGTTGATTGGTTTGCTGTTAATAACCTACTTCTTAATGAGAAAAAAAACAAATTGTGTGAAATTTACATTACCCAATGTTAGAGAGACGGTTACAAACATTGTAGTTAGAAACGAAAAATTGAATCTTGTGGATACAGTTGTATTTCTAGGTATAACGTTAGATGCTAAATTGCAATGGGGTCCCCATATAAGTAAGTTGTCAAAACGGCTCAGCTCTGCAGTGTACGCGATTAAAAAAATAAGGAAACTTTCAGACGTCGAAACCGCTAGATTGGTTTACTTCAGCTACTTTCACAGTCTAATGACATACGGCATTTTGCTTTGGGGTAATGCCGCCGATATCAATAGAATCTTTGTCCTGCAGAAACGTGCAGTTAGGGCAATTTACAATCTGGGCCCCAAAGTATCTTTGAGAGATAAGTTTAAGGAAATTAACATTCTTACACTAGCCTCACAATACATTTATGAAAATATAATTTGTGTTAAAAGGAATAGTAATTTCTTTATGAAAAATAGTGACAGACATAACATTAATACGAGGAATAAAAATAAACTAGCTTTTCTTGATAGTCGTCTTCA